CCAATTCCGTTTGGGAGAATAAAAGCACTGCTTGTACATAGAATGGCCACCGCAGTTCATTGTGTAGGTCGCAACCGCATTCAAAACCGCCGCTACGATTCTGAATGGAAGTCGAATGCGTGGGCGCATCCCTCTGTCTCCCTCGGGACTGATTAGCGCCAAAGACTTCATTGCTCACCAGTTAGACTTCGCATTTAACTCTTGCATCACAACAGAGAACGTATAAAACAGAGATGGATTTTTTGTACTAAGCTCCACCCCTCAAGAATCTGATTTTAAACTGTTCTGGGCAATGATTTTATGCAAAAACACTCGAGAAAGCTCCGCTCACCGCGGATGAGTCTTCTTCTCATTGTTCGTCGACTCATACCTGAACTTTGCCCATTTTTTCCGGTGTCTGGGATTTCTTGGAAAAAAAATTATTGTTTTTCTAATTGCACCGCCCATTCTGATGCATGTCCCATCTCCCGTGAGTGTGGTTTCGCTAAGCTCAAATGTGCTCTGTTGACTTGCTCGGGGCACCTCCCATATCACACATTACTTGACCTTTTCAGGTGCTTCATCATGTAATACCGAATTTTGGGATAGATAGACAAACAGATGCGAATTCTTTACATACAGTAAGTAATGATGATGGCTTTATAGGTAGTGAGTAATGATGATGACCTGTATAGAGTGAATGGGACGTCTCTGGACAGAGCTGTACATTTTTGTTTCTAGCCTTGCCCACCTCAGTTAGAGCCCGGTACACTTTGGCAACTTGACCATCCTTCTTCAATAGTCTTTATGCCTTTTTTTTCGAAATTTATAAAGTTTTTGAGAAGAGCTACGGTTGCTCGGTCACGGCTCCGCCCACTTGACAAGTACCTTTTATGACCTCCGACTAATTTTTTTCCGCGTTCTAGAACGCCTTTGAACAGGTTTATGAGTTTATGATATCGGCAACGCCCATCCCGGTGCAAGCCCCGCCCACTTTAGAGATTCGACCACAACCCCTCTATGACCTCTAACCACTTATTTCTCGTGTTTTTGACCATTTTTGAATAGAGCGGTGTTTTTTTTTTGACTCTCTTCGTTGGAATGCAGTACCGCGAGAACGTTTCACAACGTTTTTAAACAGAGTTATTCAATTCCCGAAAGTTATTCTTCATTTGAATGCATGCTTGCACCGTAGGCGGAGTTTCGTTTATTCACGGATCCCCAGTACTTATCAAGCTTTGTTCATTCCTTTTATTTTTGTCTCACCTCTAGGCTAAATCGAGTTATGTGTTCATGTGTAAAGTATCGCCCACTGGGAGAACGCTACGCCCACCGCAGGTGAGTCTCCTCATTCCATTTGTTTACCCACTATTCACCTTTGCTCAGTTTTCCCGGGTTCTGGGTTGTTATGGAACCAAATCAAGAGGCTTTGCAATCGGCACCGCCCAATTTCGGTGCATGTCCCACCTAAATGAGATGTTATTCATGCCCTATGTTCAACCCATCCCAGACTTTATGCAACGTCTCCAAATGCTTCTTCTGGTAATATCTAATTTTGTGAAAGATTGACGCGGGCGCATCATGTATAGTAAGGATTCTTCGTAGTTGTGAAGTCACTGACGCCCATGCACACTCAGAGCACTTGCAGTCCCAAACTAGTCGGAACTAATTGAATGACTCACGATATACAGCTGACCTGCACGGGTATCGGTTTGGGTTTTGATCTTGAATCCTCTTATATGGTAGCAGCGCCCCTTGACGCTACCCATCTGCACCTCCCCCGACTTTGATACAAAACTTCCGAATGTATTTTGCTACATATTATGACGTCAAGCGCTCTCACAAGCAGGTGAAATTTACGATTCCCATCAAGAGAATGAGTAGGCAAGATTTAGTCCACGACATGCGAGCAGTTTTCGTTTCCCTAATCTCATAAGCGCTCAATGATCACTATGATAAGCTCTAAAGTGACATAAAACCTCATCAAATTAAAACGACGAGAATGTCGTAGGAAGACTCAAACTGAGAGATAAGAAGAGCGTTGACTTTCATAGCAAAACAAGTCCCTTTTTAATATTTTAACATGCCGTCTTTCAATAATGGTTCAGCAGGCTCTGCCGCAGGGGCTAAACCTTGCTCCTGCGATGATCCTGTGCATACTCACCATCTCATATGAAGTCTTTGGCGTCAACCAGTACCTTTTCTGGGATGCGCCATGACATTCGACTTCCTTCCTTTCTTCATTGTGCATTATTCTAAAAACTGTTTACACCATAACTTCCCTTCAGTGTTTCAGCGACCAGGATTTCAGCAACTTGAATGAATGTGTGAAGTTTGGTGGAAAAAGCGACTTGAATACCGCTTAAGTATTAGTCATCCCTCCTTTAAGATCACGAGAATAATTTTAACAATGTGCGAGGCGGAATAATCCTGCTGCCTCACATGNTTTTGAAGATGGAATCGCCGTTTTGGGGGATGAGGTTTCCAATTTTAGGACGTCTTCGGTCACAAAGTCTTCACAGCTTTTTTTGACCCAATTATTAAGTACGACATATCCCACATATTTCCCTGTCCCCTCTGTCCTTACCTGGTACGATACATTCATTATACGATATCATGCGCGATATAGTCGTTGGTCGGCTGCAGGGCATGCGTATCTCAGAATTTTGGAACAGGCTGGCGACTGATTATATGATCTTTGATTCCACAAATCTTTTCATCTGCTCTGCACCATACGTAATCGTGGTGGGAGTTTCTGAAATCCTTCTTTTATCTGCAGTAAAGCAAAGCCATACTGGCTAATGACGATTCTTACTAATTATAAGTTCTGAAAGATAATCCTTGAGAGAAGAAACCTTACACTCCCTTGAGGTCTGCTATTTTAATTAGGCCAGTCTTGCCTTCTTGCCTCTGGTTGAGTTCAAAACACTAGGTCGTACATTAACTGGTCTCAGCACTTGTACTTTTGATATGCTTTTTCAAATGTTTTCTTGCATCGGACGTAAATAGAGCGCGTAGTATGGGTGAAAGCAGGTGGTGAAAGTTGATCGCCTAATTTTTTCACTCTTTCATGCTCTTTTCATTTTCATGGAAACTTTCCAGTCACACGGGACCATCTAGGGTGAGATACTCGTCGTAAATTACAAAACTGGTCTAGGTATCTTTAGATCACAATTGAGTTGAGCCGAAATCGGAATACCGTTCCTTTGAGATGAATTCCGAGTATTTCGGGTTCCCGGTTCTGGCGAAGGCGACGGGGCCGAAAGATCATTCCTATAAATTTAGACCATCTTTTCCATAACCTCGCATTTACTTCGAATCTTTCAAATGAAATTTTCCAACGCGCCGTCGACGAATTCTTCATGAAGCCTTAGCATCGGTGCCATTTTATGCTCCTCTCTGCTGGCGTGACTTGCCATTCTTTGGCTTCTGTTTCCTGTTGTAAAAAGTTTCTTGAATTGTTTTTTAGCGCCTCTTTGTTACAAGACCTATCACTAGCAGGTTTGGAAAGGCTCCCAATTCGACATTAATCACAACAGTGAATTTTTTATGTTTCTCTGCGCTTTTTAACAATAACATGAGTACCTGTAGAAGATGAAGCATCGCTTGGTAGATCGACACTTTCACTACGTCCTTTCTTGCCACCTGGACTACCATTCTGATTCAGTCATTCGATAGTCTGGATCATTCGATGCTGGATCTCCTCCATCTCCTCCTCATTTTATGGACCATTTGCTCTATAGTTGTAAGCCTTCCTCGCGCTTTGGATAAACTGTCCCCCTATCTGGGAGTTGAACATCTCCCAGATAGGTCACAAAAGTCAGTTCTTCTGCATTATCGAACGAGTACGCTGTCAATGAGCAGGCTCTATGGGATATGGAACGCTTGTTAAGCTTGTCCGGTTAAGACTCAGGGATCCCACCCTTGGAACTTGCGCGAGATATTACCCTACCTGGCACTTCACCATCCAAAAAAATTACATGAGGGAATTAGGAAAATGGAATAGCTACTCAAACGCCCGGCAAATATCTGGTGCTAAGAAAACGTAGTGGTCCTTTCATGTCATCAACGTCACGATAAGGACAGAGACTGACGAGTCGTGTACTTTTGGAGATCTGCAAAAGATATATGAATAAATCTGTTTTTTTAACCATTTCAATTACCTAGTGGCTCACAAGACGCCATTTCACGCAGTTTTTTCCTCAGAGAGCATAGGAAATGACTGCCGACCCATTGAATTTCAGGTGTTACCATCATCCACAGTCCAGTTGCTCAAAGTAAAACGATTACCTACGTACTCGATTATTACGGGGCTGTTTCCGTCATACCTCGTGCCGCATCATTCTTTATCACAAAACTTTTTCTTCTGGTTCTCGATACATTCAATTTTTCTGAAGCTTTGAGGTGAGTTACTCAAATGATCAACTGATCTGGTTAAAATTTGAAAGGAGGCTGTGTTGCCGTAAAACAACAGCTGTATCGCCTCACAGACAACTACTCGGTTTTCGAGGTTATCTGAAGTGGCGTTTTCGGCCAAGAAAGCAGCAGTGCGAACAGGGCGCTACTACATCTATGGCCAGAGGATCAAATCTTAGATCGACCCCGCTTTGGCCAGTCGAATGTTTACGCTGTCCGAAAACCTACATTGTTGGTACCAGATTTGCAGTGAACTGAGTCCAAAAAGCATTTGAGGTTATGCATGAGTTCTAACTCTCTTATACTGAAGATGGCAGTAGAAAACACCTTTCTAGGATTTCATGATTTTTTCACTGTTTCCTTGGCTGCCACGATTCACCTTATCACCATAACTTCACATTGGTTTAGTAGGAAGAAATTTACTAACGATTTTTATTTTGCCCATAACATAGAATACCCCAAGTGCAAAGCTTACATAAGGCAGTGAATCAAATTGCATGCCAACAAACCTGATCCATCTTATGCATATGCAATTTCCTTTTTAAACTCGTACTATCAGGAAAATGAATAGTAGAATTTCTATATGATTTCACTTTGCTCATTTTCCTTTACTTCTTTCCTTTCTCCTCAGCTTTTCTGTCGAGGTAAAGTTTCAGATTAGTTTGCTTCTTGCTAAAATTGCCCATGTTATGGAAAATTTGGGCAATTTCGGGATAGTGGCAAGAGGCGTACTATCACACACACATGGCCCGGAGATCGAGTCCCGGATTGATACCCTTCCAGACCAACCAAGTCTTTCGTCCCTTGGTACCACCCTAGTCTGGAAGGATGGCTTCCCACCGCAAATCATCCTATGGGCCATGTGAGCATTTGTTCGGGCGAATTCCAAAACGGCAATATCAACGCTAAAGACTTTGTCATCTGCAAGTACGATTATTAGGCTCATCGAGCGTCCGTAACAAGTAATCTCAGTTCTATGGAAGTACGGGCCAATACGAGTGTAGTGACTGTTCTGTGATCACTTAATGAAACGTATCATAATGAATCCACTGATAGTACCTTGATAACGATACTTTCTTTATATGTCTTTTTTTGTGGAAGCTCAAGAAGCTGGGCATGACTGTGCTTCAAACTAACCGCACGAGGTCGGCCCGGTTTCGAAATGGTTTGCCCAACGAGTTCAGATACAATCTCAATTCTACGGTACTGAACTATGTACTTTTGTACATATTTGGTAGTCTGAAGCAATTCCACCATCACAGTACAGCTTACGTTTTCTTGCAAACATAAGCTACTTCGACATCCAAGTATGGATGTCCGATTTATTTGCAGCTGCTGAAGCCGATTAATTGAAATATGACGAAGTTGTGAAAGAATAGGTTATGTCTGTCTTTCGGAACGGCTTTTGATATTTTTCGTTGCCTCGATTACCTTTGCTTTTATTACCGTGCCGTGGAGTGGCTCATGGTTCACTCAAGTAAACTTCCGTTGCCGGTTGGTCAGTAATAGTTGACCATTAGCTAACTCCTATAAACAACCTGCTGCTCAATTTCAAACATAAAATTCCTTCATGCTTCAGTCTTTCCACTCTTTCAATCCTTTTTATTTCCCCATAATAGAGCGCCTATTTCCGACCTTTCACTTCCTTCTGATCAGAAGTGCCGTCATTGGGATTGCATTCCTCACAACTCTTTGTTCTCTAATGATGTTCCACGTGGCGAATTCTCAAGTGCTTTTTACAATGATCACATTATGAATCGCGTCATCCATGCGAGCCTTCCCATGTGACGAATTTCGCATTTGCAGATGTCACGAATGTACACTTTGTTCCTGCTGTGCACTGTGAGCGCAGTTTGTCTCTCACTTCCTTTCCGACTGGTAGGACAATTGCCGGCGTCAGTCATCGCACGAATATCGCAACCATTCGATGAGGAGGTCAGTCATCAGAGACAGCTTTTGGCTGGTGTTCCTCAAGGAAGCCTTGAGAAACATTTCAAAAATCCAAATATCCTTTCAAATAATTCGTTAATGTTTTAGGACGATGTGATAGTAATAATGCCACAAATCCGAACACGACGATCTCAGCCAATCATTGACTACACTGACGAGTTCTCCGCGGATCCATTCGAGGTGCCAGAGAGTGTGTGTTCAGAATCTAGGGAAAAACTGGGAAAAGGAAAAAACAATTCTGAAAGGCTCCAAAAGTCTAATGAAACCGTATTAGGCACATCCCTNAAATTCTGACAACCGATCCTTTCTGAAAAAATTTTCTCAGATTGTCTTTTGTAAAAACACACTTAGGTGACTACTCGGGGACTTGGTAGAAAAGGGGATAGAGTTGTGGGCAGGAAAGGAAATAGTCCAAAATTTTTCGGCTGAGCCGTGCTTAAGTTGGTTAGTCTCTACGTGGTGGAGACTTTCAGGCCTCACAGGATTGGAAGGGATGTAGGAAAAACCTCGTCCTTAAAGGGGATTCGAACCCATACTTGTGCTTTTTGAGCACCACACTTCTTTTCCCTTACACTACCGAGACCTTCCCTACCTGCCCTCGCCTTCAAGACTATACATATGGTACACTCCCGATGCTCAACCGATTTTAGATGAACATTGAAATTTGATTGATACGTGATAGAGGGGTAATCTGTGACCTCAGTTGTGTAGTTGCTCGTAGATCATACTTATCGCTTTCAGATGCCGTTAAGCAAAGGCCGAAGACCATTGTGATTATGAGAATCATGTAATAATTAGTTTTGATATTGTTTCTGGAGTGTACTTATCTGTCCATTGGTTCTATTTGATCTCAGAATTCTGTGAAAATATTCATTGCATATCGATAGTGTCTGTTTCATGTTACGATCTGAAAAAGTGAAGAGAATTTGTTAATTTCTCAAGGTTCTAGTGGTATCTTGGTATATAGTAACATTCAATAAAAATGTTTTTCTGAAAACTCTATATATTCTTCGGGGAGGACTCGACTCCACAAAAAGTTGATGTTCATGCGTTTCGATGTTTCTCGCACGCCATCAAAGCCAGAGTGACGCATATTCTTGAAGGCACAGTTCACGATAATCTCCTATTGCTGGTCGCGGGGCTTTCCGCCCTTCGAACAATGTCACGTCAGACGAGCGTCGAGGCGATGCAGATCGCAATGATTCGTTCTAGGACCCACACATAATCAGCTGATCGCCGAGTGATGAGGCGATGTTTTCTCCGTTCCTTTTTTCCTTTGTTACTCTTTTTGCTTCCGCGATCCCTTATTTGATTTCCTAAAACAAGAGGCTGAAAAAGCTGAGCTATTTCCGCTGTTACTAGGGTTTTTTGTTTACTTTTGCTTATAATTGAACGAATTTTAGCTTGCCGCAGTCAGTTATTTGCACCAAGACCCACACGTACGCAATGACCCACATTGTATAGCTCCTACAAACGCCTCACTCTTCTTCATTCTTCTGGTCTCATTCTCGTTTAGCCCCCTTTCTACTGATTTTTCCAAGCCTCTCTTCATCGATTCCAGTTCCTTCGCCTTCATCGCACTATTTTCCGTCTTATCTTCCATTTTTCGTTATAATCTCGATTACCCAAAATTATCGTGAACTGTTCCTTAAAGGTTTGCTCTGAAGGGCATCACTTCTTGGATGTAAAGTCTAATGCTTCGTGTTCAGTAAGCTCGCTGAGCAGAAAATATCCATTAAACATGTTCGTATAATAATTCCCACATTCCCAATAGACCCGAATGTCTACTAGAGAAGTATAACTTTTTGATTCTTTTGAATACTTCGACAACTTGATTTAATGTATACCTGTCCCTTGAGAGGGGTAGCCTGTCCTGAAGGGTCCGACGGTCTCATCCTCTCTCTATACACAGTCAAGCCCGGTCTAGGGAACAGTAACGGCAGTTAAACGATGTTGCCGAGCTAACTCAGCGGCTTCGTAGGCCACCAGATGATTAACCGTGCTGAGAGCCTTTTCTCTCTCCCCGCCGAACGCCCTGCGGAGAGAGGAGACGCTTAAATGCCTCGCCGAGCAGGAGGCGGAGAACAAGGAAATGACATCATGAATATGGAGTTCATAACAAGGTTGAAGAAGATGAGAGATCTTCAACGTGATCATGGACATGGCCACTTGAGATGTGGAGCTCCACGAAGGGAAATGTTGGAATTCCCGATGGAAGGATATGATAGCCGCCGTGGAACCAATGTCGCTTGCCGCAGGAATTCGGAGAGAAGTACCGTCGCCCAATTGACTGGCGTTTTCTAATGTTTTAGTCTAGTTCTTCAATGGCGATTGTCTAGGTGGGAAGGTGTAGAGAGGAACAAGATAAATAGCCTTTGTCCGATGAATAATTGGCTTTACTTGCAAGCGGTAGCGGCTGCAACGATCTAGCATTATCAGAAGACTAATATTAGAGATATATGAAAGAAGCACGCCGCAGAATCTAGCTTAGGATTTTAAAGAGTTAACAAAGTTTCTGTGAGACGCATCTATCATACCACGCGATTATTTCAGTGAAGAAAGTTCATCTCCAGTTGCTATTCATTTTACAACATGACTTGTGCTCTGAGTTATGTTAGTGTGGATGGGGATGGTCGCATTTATGTATGTATGCGTGTGCCTGTGGTATGTGTGTGGTGCGTGTGTGGTTGCGTGAAAATCTTCATCTCTTTTCCTCTGGGCCTTCAAATTAAAAACGGAAGCGGTGCAGGTCGAGTTGAAACAGTGGTTGGGAGTGCACCACGCACAATTAATGAGTTCCAAGGCGTTGGTCCTAGTTATATTAGCTTTTTGTCGGAGGCGAAGAGGAGAATGTGCACCGCCTCTGCCCATCTGCGTGCCTTTATGCTGTTTTATGAAGAAGAAAGGAACACCGGAGTGATAAGACGATTACCTCGTGTGAAATATTGAAAATCCGTCCACCTCGGTGCTCCTTTCGACTGAGGCTTACTTGAAAAGTACGTTCCCCTTGTGTTATCTAGATTAACCCTCAACACCTTGTCAATTCCTTGATATATTATACTAACGCTGTTGTGCGTGACCCCCCCACCCTCCATCCTCCGCTAC